AGATCCCTAGAAATTTAATTAATAAAAGACACCATGTTCTGGTAACTAAAAGGCTCACAAACATCATTCTGATTCCAATGAAACCAAGGCCTTAAAGCACAGATTATTACGAGTGGCGTCCAGTAAATCCCTACTAAACTTTCTTATCATAAAAACAAGCTTATGTTCTCTAATTAAAACCATATGAGAAACAGTACTTTTTTAAACTACAGGGAAGTTATTTGCAAAGAAATCTGAGAGATAATTAGGGTGGTGGTAATACAAATCATTTTGAAACTGAAAAGCTCTTATGTAATGTCTGTGATCGAAGGTCAGAGTCTTTCGACATTCTCTTAGGAGTCCGATCTGGATAAAAATCAACTCAAATATAATTTAGAAAAATAACAGGATATCAAACAATATGTGAACCCTGTGAAAAGCAGGCATACCTTACAAAAACAAGAAATGAATATTAAAGGAAACTTCAATTACATTGTTTCTGTCATATTTTGAATTAAATCCCAAGTGTGCTCTCATTCCTCAATACAAATTAAAAATAAACAACTTTTAACAGCATCAGTGCCATCTGGATTACAATGGAAATAATGAAGTGTGTGCGATTTTAACTAGGGTAAAAATAAAGTCTCAGCAATCTGACTGCACCGTTTCCATTCCAGGCAGCGATGACATTCCCTTCTCGCAACTGACTCTATGGACCAAGGCAAGGTCAACTAGAAATATCCAACTCAGCTGGTGAGTCAGGCACATTGCTCAACCTGTGAAAGGGCTCTAACAAAGGGTTTTAATTTTCAGGCTGTTGCATCACAGTGATGTTATAATTGCACTTTGCAAAGATAAGCCTTTAACACAGAAAAGGAAATTGTTTCAAAAACTACAGTGAGTTTGCAATTCACACCCAGGAAAGGGGACAGAATGGGGGGGGGGGTGTTGTTAGCAGCATGGTACCTTCATCCCATTTTCAGGCTCCTGACCTGGGCTGGTAATCAATTTCTCTAAGTCTCCACTCACTTATCTATAAAAGGAGGATGATAACAGAACACTCACCACAGTGTACATGCCTGGTAAGTGTTTAGTAAAACTAAGTTCTTAATCTCATTTCTGAAGAGTGAACAGGCAAGGATGAAGATTATTAGTTCTAGGCCCTTTCCTGATTGTTGACCTATGTTGCAAGTATACAGGTAAACCAAGTGCAACTTCTGTAGTAAGCAAAATGGTCAACTTTCAACAATTTCACAGGGCTGGATCTTAGTTTTCAAAGAGTTAGGGCACATGTACTCCCTCCCAGATAGCTCATTTGTGGAGTCTAACTGGCCTCTGAGCTCAGACCATAGAATTTTTGATGCAGAGATTACCAGCCCAAGGGAAATCGGTCAGAAAGGTTGAGGGACGAGGGAAAGGCCAAGCTGTCTGGCACTTTTTCACATCATTCCTGCAGCCATCAACTCACCTCTCTGTTCCTTCAAGCAGCTCCCCCAAAATTTAATGCAATGATTTGAGAAGTTTGAGGTTCTGCGATTCTGTCTATTCCCTCAAACTTAAATTACCATTGACTATAATGGCAAAAGTTTTAAGAAAAGTTAATCACGATGGAAAAAATGGTATTTTCAGAATTTCTTTAATTATATGCTCAATTCAAACTTTAGACCTTACTGTTACTACACAGAGATTTTGGCAGAGAAAAACGAAGGTGAGTAACTTTGTTGTTTTGTTTTTTTTTAATTCTGGTTCCTGATCAATTACACACGAAGCATTTATTCAGCCCTTCAGAACTAACCAGCTTCCCAGGTTTTATTTCCTAAGTTCATCCTGGAGACCAATGGAAATCAATGGAGCACCAAAGTTCATAAGCTAGGTGGGGGGCCAGCCCTGTACTTCATTAAGGCTCCTTCTCTAACCACTGCAGAGGCTGGAACTCAAGAGAGAAACTGATGAAGGCCAGAGGTGCAGGCTACCGTCCCACAGAAACCAAGTCTTCAACAAAGCTGATGGCACAATGCACTTTCTGAGAACACATGAGGTGTCACTCCGAATTCACTGGGAATTGCAAGTGCACAATCTTTCAAGTCTTTATGACAAGAATGAAAATCTTATGGCTGTGAGTTCTCTCTACCTTAGCCTTTGATCACATAAACTACAGGTTCAAAAGAAAAAATCATTCATTCAACCAATTACAAGCAAGCTGGTGCTCTCCCTTCCACATCTCTACCAAGGCTGGAGCGCCCCCACCCCTAATTTCTGTGTTCTGTTGACATTTGAAGGTTTTCTTAGGTCTTTTTTCACTCCGAGATTCTAGAAGCTCTTGGCTGCTAAACACAATGAAACCTCCTGGAACAAAGGTGTCTTGCGGTGCTCAGAAGCTCACGGTGCAGAGACTACGAGGTGGGCCCCCGGATTGCTCGGTCCTAGGGCGGGCAGGCAGGCAGCCGAGACGTGAACAGAGGCTCTGGGCGCAGGGCTGCGCTCTCGTCGGAGTCGCCCCCACTCTTCCCGGTCCCCTCGTACACCATGTTAGGGGGGTCCTGAGAGCCCAGCACTTCCCGGCCCCTGGCGGGTCCTCCGCGCCCCCAGCGCCCCGTCTTCCCGGGATCCGCCCCCGCCTGCTGGGCGGCGCAGTGGGGCCTAGGCGCCGCCAGGACCCCCGAGCCAGAACAAAGGAATGTGAGGAGGGGGCGAGGAGGAGCAGGGGACGAGGCGCTGTCCGGGCTCCAGCGCCGCCCAGGGCGCTCCCAGACCTCGACCCCGAGCCCCAGCTCGCCACCCCGCAACGCCCCAGACTCCCGGGACCCAGAAGCGAGGGCGCGGGGCAGCACGGACGATCACGGGAGGTTGCGATCGGAAGGTGGCGCTAGGCAGACCCTGCAGGGCCCGGCTCCCAGCCCCAGTTCCAAAGTAGGTCGGGGTCTGCACCCCCCAGGGACCGGGGCGAAGTGGGGAGGGGCGGTGTGGAGCCGAGCAATAATAGCTCCTTGGAAAGCGATTGCAACTATTTGGGGTAGTAATTGGTTCCCCGGGTGAATCTCAATACGTTCACCCTCTCCCCACCCCCCTACACACACCAACCTCCCCCTCAAGACCTTGCACCTTATTTAAATGTTACGTTAGGGAAAAAAGCCCTGATACATAAACACCATCATGTTAAAATGTCACACATAATTACACTAATTGTTCAAGGAAGAAATTTAAAATCTGAGCAAAATATATATGCGTGTGGGTATATATTGTATATATAGTGTGTGTGTATGTATGTATATATGTGTGTATATATAGCTTCACATCAGTAAAACTAGGGTATTCAGGCAAAAATACAATCTACTAATCTGTATCTGTTTCTCATAAATCATATCTATTCTGGAAGAAAAAAAATACTATGTGAAATAAATATTTGTGACCTCATTTGCTGTCTTTATTTACAAAAGCGAGATCCAAAAGGCAGTACTTGACCGTTTCTGCTGTTCTCAGAGAAAAAAGCACTTTCTTAAAGTGTCCTTTAAAAAGATAAATAGCAGTCAGCAATCAGCAAATCACCGGGCTCTGCCAAATGCCTTCCTAAAAATACAATCTTATCAAAGGTCTCCGAAGGCGTGGAGTTAAAACTACAGCAAATGGCCTTGAACTTGTATTTGCACACAGCCCTGGAGAAAAACCCAGAAATAGCACCACGAGGCCACAATTGTTAAAATGAGATAGTTAGGGCTAAATTTAGAAGAACACACATTTCATTTAGGGCAAAAGACACATTCCCCAGCATGAGCAAACTCAATGCTTCCCCGGTTGTCTACTTTCCTGTTTAAAATATCCTAAAAAAAAAAAAAAAAAAAAAAAAAAAAACTGTTACAGTGACATTTTAAAGGCGGAGATTGTCCTACTTTCTTTGTAGCAAGATTATAAAATCACATAATTAGCTCCCTCTTCCTATGCTCACCGCCAGCAAATTCGGCAGTTACATAATGCAACATTTCCAGGAAACTATTATGTGCTCTGTCTTGTGTCTGCAAAGGGAATGACAATAAGGTGAGGAAAAGAACTGATTGAACGGAATGTATCAAAATTAGGAAGGTGGGGAGGTGGGTAATCGTCAGAATGGTTTGTCCCAGATTTTAAAATAATATCTTAGAACCTCTCAGGGGCGAAGCCGGGTAGTATCCACGCTCGAAATTCAACTGGAGGAATGCTTTCCTTTCCTATTTCGTAGGAGTGTTTATAAATATCTTCTTTTATTTGAGACGTAGCGTAGATGTACATAACGATCTAATACCCAACGCTGCGCTAAAATTACCAAATCATTGCACACGTACGCGCACATTCCCACATCAGCCCATGATCCCAGCCAATATTTCACAGTGGGCAGATTATGCAATGGATGCAAGGACAAATCCCACAACCTTCCCAAGCGCCGGGAAGACACGCCGAAGACCAGCAGGGTGACACGTCTGTGCAGACACGGCCCCAGACTCAAACAAACGGCGTGCAGGCATTCTCCGAGCGCCGTCCCCGTTCACGCCACCAACCCTATTTCTCGACAAGAAAATCAAGAGTCGTGCCCATTCCTGAGCCCCCTGCGCTCCCCCTGGCCGCCGGCTCCACAGAAGGCACGAAAAAGGAGAGAGCATCGCCCTTCCCGCTGAGGACGGTTCAGCTTCGACTCAGCCTCCCCGGCGCTCTATCGTTACCAAAACATCAATTTTCCTGAAATCAGGAGACATTATGCAACAGCGGTGGGGGGAGCGCAAGGCAGCCCGGACTACGTGCCGGCGCCAGGGCGCTGCAATCAAAGCAGCCACCTTAAGGTGGCGAGTCCCATCCCGACAAGGCAGCAAAAGTTTATGTAATGGATGCCCCGCGCACACTCGCCGCCGCCGGCCAGCCCCGCGCGCAGCCCGGCCCCGCGCGCAGCCCGGCCCGCGCCCCGCGCCCGCCGGCCGCGCGCCCCGGGAGCGGGCGGGGAGCCGGGCGCGGGGCGCGGGGCGCCGGGCCCGGCCGGCGGTGGGCGGAGCACTCACCGTGTTCCTGCTCTCCGGTGGCCGAGCCGGGGCGGCCGGGAGCGGGGCCCAGCGGCCTTCGGGCTCGGGGTCCGGCCGGGCCTCCGGGGCGGCGGGCGGCGGCGAGGGCGCGGCGCGGGAGGCGGGCGGGCGGGCGGGCGGGCGCGCCGGGTCCGCGGGCGCCGTGGCCGCGCCGGGAGATGTGTGTTAGTAGGTCAGTTCCGAGCGCCGCGCTACGTCGCCGCCCGCCAGCCCCGCCGTGACGGGCGGCCGCGGCCCCAATCGTCGGGTCCGCACCGCCCCCCGCGCGCCACCAATGGCCGCGACCCGCGGAGGCGGGGTCTCGACGGCACCGCCCCGCCCGCCCCCGCCCCCGCCCCCTCCCCGCCCGCGCCACCGGCCGCCTGCGTCCTGCTCGCTAGTGGCCGCCGCGGCCGTGGCCCGCGCGCGGGGGGGACCCGCGCCCGCGCCCCGCTCTAGGGTTGCGCAATGATCGGCGCGGCCGTTTCGGCCCGTCCCAGCCTGGGGAGGGGCCCGAGACCCCTCGCTCCGCTGTCCCGCTGCCTCCACCGCTGCCGGCGCCCTGCAGGTTTCCGCGGTGCCTCTCGGAGCCCGGGACCTGCGCTCACGCGCGGAGGCGCTTTTTGTGTCCAAGCGCGGAGCCAACCCGGCTACCTGTTGCCGCCCACCGAGCTCCCGGCCGCGAGCTGCGGCCGCTCGGGCGTGGCAGGGACCTCCGCCTCCCGCGCGCGGCACACTCCCGGAGGACCCCCGCCTTCTTGGGGTGGACGCCTGGGGAGGCGATGGGGGGCGCTGGTGAGCTGCCGGCGCTCGCGGCAGGCAGCCGTGGGGAGGGGGTCGGGTCGGCGGGTCCCGGCGGTGCGGGGCTGCGTGGGCGGCGATTACAAAGCCCCGCGCTGCTCGCGGGGAGCGCCCCGGCCGACAGCCCGGAGAAAGCGCGCCAGGCGCCAACACCGCCCCCTGCACACTTGGGGCGAAGATGATGGCTACAAAGTTGTTGTGTAACACCGCTGGGACCCGGGGTTCGGCGAGGTCCAGCTGCCCTCTCGGCCTCCGGCAACGCGGGGAGGGGGTCGCCGCGCTGCGGGCTCGCCGGCCGGGTGCGCCCGGTGCTGTGCCCGCCCGGGGCTTCTGCGGGAGCTGGAGACGGCCGCGCCTCGGCGCGCTCCGCGATCTCGAAGCTCGTAGGTCGCGACTGTCATTTCTGCGCCTAATTGGATGCGGGTGTCTCCACCCGCAAATTCCCGGGCTACGGAAGAAGCGTAACGGAATGAAAGAGCACCTCTCGGCGCGTTCCCAAGGCATGGAGCTGAAGACTGTAAAGGCACGTGGCTCACACACACAGCGCGTTTCCAGATAGGATGGAGGGGCGCGCCTGCCTCGGCTAAGGGAGCCATGTTCCTGACCGTGACGCGCAGACTTGCCCGAACAGGGAATGTGGCAGGTGGGGACGGACCTTCTGCTCTGCTTGGACTGTGAGGGGCCTGAACTGAATGCCTTCCGTGGCTTTCCGTCAGAAAAGGATATGATAAAACACACATTTTTTTTTTTAAATGAAGAAAAATGTGAAGCCAAGACCAAAGAGTGGAATGAACTTCCAGTTACCATCACCAGTGTCCATCATCCACAGACCATCTGTTTGCTGAATTTCCCTTTCCACCTTCCCGATTCTCACATTGCACAATTAATATCATAAGCACCAAAAGGGTGACGTTTAAAAATGTTCACCATGTATCAGTTGGGTTTTGGAAAGTCTCACATTTCAAAGTATTCTCCAAGGGAGATGTTGTGGTTCAAAATCACACCTTTGTCCATTCACAAGACCTAACAACAAGGTCTTGGCAACTTGCACATACAATATGGCTTATAACATCTTCCCTAAATTCACCTTCCAGGCACTCACCACTTCAAGAATCATGTCACTGTATGCTTTTTGTGTCAGTACTCTCTTAGACATTTAATTCAAAGAACTGACTACAGTGATGGAAACTAATTCTGGTTGCAGTTTCTAATTTCCACTTTTCTCATTTTTGCTGTAGGTTTCCTTTATTCCAAGCCTCACGACGCCCATTATAGCTTTGGAAAACCTCTCTTTAAATGAAATTAAAGCCATATCTATAAATCAGTTACCTTTTCAAAGCTAGAAGTACAGTGAGTTCCTGGAAATCCCCAACTGCCCTGTATAACACCTCATCCCCACACAGCAAGCTCACCACATTGTTCTGCTTTCTGAGTAATTTCATAGAATTCCCAAACTGTTGTAGATAGGTAGAAAATGGCTTTGTACAAGGACAATGTGAAACTCAAGAAGGTAAATAACATGCAAGAAGTCACCCCAGACAGTGACAGTAAAAGAATTTTCTAAACCTGGAAATTAGTTCTTTATGCTGAGTTTTGAAGCTTAATGTGCCTCTAAATACTTGGGGGTATCCTAAATTGTGTTTATATTTTGTTTGTGCACCATTTTTTAAAATTGTCATCTTGGTTGGAAATCAGACGAAGTCTAAAACATATCTGTGTTGCCAGTTTAGAAAATAACTCTTTAGCTCCTCCTGGTGATTAGGAAACCACTGAACACCACCACCACGGATCTGTCCTTGCAACCCAACAGGTGATGTGTCCAGTATTATATCCTAGAACATTAGTAGTATACCCAAGCATTTTTCAGATTGACATGAGTAAATGGAGCATAAAACCTAAGACACTTGAAACAAATTAGGATGGGGGAGGACTTTCAGGAAGGTGACAGCATGGACAAAGGTGTTCTGGTGGAAATAGGAAGTCAAAACGTCTTTGCTCTTAGTCCTTCTTAGGGCTGGGGGTGGGGGTAAGGCAAGGGAGCAAGACATAGGGATCAAGACGGGAATTACTGGCAGAAGACAGTCAACCACATTCAGCTTCTTCTGATTAAGCGAATCTAAGAACTCTAACTTGAGAGCAGAATGGTTAAGAATGTGGCCTCTCTGAACTCAGATAGGAAGAGCTCTATAATCTCAGAACATTTTGAACTAGAAGATACAGATACCTAAGAAGTCCTATGTATCTAGAAGTCTTTACCCTGGGCCTCCTTGAGCAAACTCAGATACTTAATGGGAGTTCAGGTGAGCTACATGTTGACAGTGGCAGAGAGAGAGATTGCTCCCTTACAAGAGACACTGTGCCTCAGCTCCATGGATTGCTAGAGAAAAGGACATTTAGGATTTTTTTTTTAAAGTAAAATGTCCTGATTCTTCACTTTGGCAAGTAATTCACTAAAAAACCATGGCCTCCTTTCTTACTGAACTGGAGGCAGAACTGTGTACCCTCTGGTGAAAGAGTTTTGCAAGAAAGGGGAGGCATCTGTGGCTCAAAGGAGGGTATTTGCCTGGCCCCCTAGACCGGAGAGTTCCATATTGTCTAGGCTGGATGTGGGGCTTCAGGATTGCTCTGTAGAAAGTTTTCAATTGGTAATAATCATTTGGCAACCCCTGAACCTGTCTGGTGCCCTGCAGTCAGCATCAGGCTGCTATGTCCCAGATCATTCTTTCTACTGTGAGGTGTTGCGAAGACTTTGTGGCCTTTATTTTAAACTTCATGAACAGAAGTTAAGACCAATTTCTAGGAATCCCTAAGTTATGGGGTTTTTTTTTTTGTTGTTTGTTTAGAAGTCATGGCTTCAAAACATAAACTAGTGTGATAGTGATCTCTGTGATCCCTCGAGGCTAGCCCGTGCCTGTCAGTGTATGATTTATGCTGGGATTTTGACTTTGACCCAATCAGTCATTGAAAGTTTAGGCAGAAACTTCCTGGAATGATATTTCTTTCTTTGACTCTTGTACTTTCTTTTATTTCTATACTTCATGTCATTTCTAATCATTGGACTCTCTCCTCTCCCTCCTCTGTGCCTTCTATTTTCATTCCACTAATGTTTTTCTTTTGTATTTTCTCCCTTGATTTATTCTTATTTTTTTTCCTTTCCCTAATCATCAAATTCTCATTACTTCTTTGTATTCTTTCCTCCTCCTCCAGCCTTCTACCTTCTCTACTCTCTTGCCCCCACAACCTGTGCCAGCCATAACCCAAACTTTGTGAGTGTTTAAAATTTTCACTGTCTTCCAGCCTCAAGCTTGTAACTCCTCAGCTTCTGACTCTTGGGTCCAAAGGCAGGAGTTCCATTATCATGATTGACATTATTCCTCAAAGACTAGTCTTTGTGGGCAATTGGGTAATGGAAGACGGTCAAATAACACCCCGATAGAAGCAAAGGCCTTAAAGTATGGCAAGCAGAAGTGTTTCCTATTAAATAGCTCTTGCTCAAGCTAAGAAAGAAATTAGATCTCTATACCGACTGCATGATTTCCCCAGACAAAAGCAGCTGATGGTCTGAATACATTTCAAAGCATTTCCAAAAGACCCAGGAAAAAGACCAGAAAGGTGATTTTACAAAAGGAGAAAATGTGGCAAGCACACCATTACAAAAGCTGAAACATGTTTTTAAATCCAGCTGCATACATTTCGGTTAGCATTTTATTTATTCAAATTTAATGGTATATGTGAGTAAAGGTGCCGAAAGAAAGGAAACTAGCTAAAAAGGTGAGTGAAAAATGAGGGAACACACTAAAATGGTGAAGACTTGGGAATCAGCTATGTGCATTCTTTGAAGAATTTGGAGCAATGGAGCAAACATTGTGCTAACAGTTTCTTGGCAACTGGGACAAGCAAGGTTAAAAGTGTGAAATATAAAATTGTGAAATATGTTCTCACAAAACTCATTTTACTAAGAATAAGAGATGACATGTTCACAATTCAATGCAGCTCTAGTTACTGAGGTCAATCTTATCTAAACACTTTTGCAAAGTCATGCGTGGGGTAGTCTTGTAGACAGTTATTGCTGCAATGCAGGTGCCTGGGTTCTAGTACTTTCCTTACCCCAGACTCCCTAAGGGAACATTTCACCTCTAGAAACTTGTTCCTTCATCTGAGATCTGATGGAGTTGAACCAGATACATCCCTCTGGCATTATAGTGGGTGACTGTCCAGCAAGAGCCCCAAGTGCATGACGCAGAGAAGGAAGCCTGAAAC